TGTCAAAACCTCATTTTAGGCAATTTGAAACATTGCCTTATCACAGTCAGAGGCGGCCATAGCTTTTGCAGCCTTTACCTCTTTGTTCTTCCTGTCAAGCGGCTTGCGAAGGCCGTTCACTCGAAGCAGGGCCTAAGTAAAAGGGAACAGGCGTCAGTTTTCAAACAAAAAACAGGCGTCCTGGAATTTAAATAACCAAAATTATGTTAAGTATACCTCAGCAAGGACCCCTGCTATCCCGTCTAGGTCAAGGGTGCCGACACCCCTGACCGCCTCCCTCTCAGCCGGAGGGACGGCTTTGATCATAGACTTGGCCACCTCGACCAAGTCTGGCTCCTGAGGGCCGGATGCATCAAGCATAAACAAACGGGTTAGACCTAGTAAAGAAGGGAGCAAGTCTAAACTCACAAGGACATCTTCATACTTCTAGGCGGCCCGATTGGAGTTTTAGAAGGAGTGACGGCTGTTTCTCAGCCGCCGCATGTTTCCTGGCAGTACCAGGAGAGCTCGTAACAGTCGTCCTCCGGGTTTTGGAGTCCGGCTGTTGGGAAGAAGAGGGTCTTGGAGTGCCCGTCTGAAAAAAAAAAAAAAAACACTCGGTTGAGGGGTTCGGAGCTCACCAAGGGCGCCCCCTTGTTGGGGGAGTCGGTTGAGGATTGTTGCATGATGGAGGCTCGCAACATGGCCGCCGCAGTCTTGGAGGCGGTAATTTTTCTCATGGCGTCCGCTGCAAGAACAAATAGCAAAGTTAATAAAAAGTCATAACAGTAATGCATGGAAAAACAGAGTATTCGACAGGCCGGCTACCTCTTGAGCACCGACTGCTGAGGCCACAGGCGGCCAAAAAGTACTCGTCATAGAGCCATTTGAAGCTCGGGATGCAGTGCAGGGGTACTTGCTCTCGTACCCCTGTAGTAGAGTCGACCCTCGACTCTACTTTAAAGAGTCCTTTATCCAGGATCTCTTTCTTGGCTTTGGGGGGAACAGGCGGTATGCTGCGGCCGCCTGCAAGAAGAGGCGGATTCCTGTTCCACCTATTGAAGCGCTTGTTTAGCTCGGTGTCTGAACTTTCAATGATAAGGAAGGTGCTTCGCCAATCCTTCCACTTGTTTGCTTTACCTTTTGTCATGAGGTAGCCTCTGTGGCTCGTCAATTGATACCAGCCGGTACCGCCTGCCTTAGGGGTCCGGCTGAGGTAGTTCATGTGGGCGAAAGCCTCGAAGTTTGGCTTCACCCCGTGCAGTTCGCAGCCGGCCACATAGCCGAGTACGTTGACCCAGGAGTTTGGGGCTAACTGCCATAACCCCCAACTCATACCCATCCAAGATCCGCTGAACAGCCGGATGTAGTGGGAATCGCAGCCCAGCCCTGATGGCCGCCTCGTAGCAGCCAAAGCAGGCGCTATCATAACTAGTACCAGCCGGCCAGACAACTATATCTTCTGGATCCGGCAAGAAAACTAAAAAGCCGGGGCCCATTGTGTGGTTCGCAATAAAGCTCCCCACTCTCTCTTGCATGGCCGTGATCCGGCCCCGTGGGACAGTGCAGTAGTGAGGGGTATTTTGCTCTCGGTAAGAGGCGGATGGCTCCGTCCAATTGTCCCCCTTCTCAACTGCGTGAGAAAGCCTCGCCTCTTGTAGGCGGTTGTTTTTCTCTTCTGTGTCCAGAGAAGCATGACCAGAAGAACTAGACTCGGATTCGTCCTCGGACGAGTCCGAAGAGGACGACTCCTCCCCTCTCCCAGAGGGGCCCGCCTTCTCTCCTTCAAAAGGAGCAGGAGAGAATGTAGTCTTGTCAACTGTAAAATGGGAAGGGGTCACTTTGACCCCTCCCTCAGAACTGTCGGCTTTCAAGCCGCTTTGGTTCACTTCCACATCTGGCGCCTGGTCAGATGTTTCACTAATCGGCACCCTGTGGGAGGAGCCGTCTAAGTTCGAGATCCTAGCAGTCTTTTTTGTTCTGGCCATCATGTTCTTCATAGACACAAAGACAGTCGGACTTTGTATAAAGGGCAAAGATGGGTCCGGAAAAGGGCAGGCGGCACTCCTAGTCCTAGATTCAGCCGTCCCCGGTGACCGGCTGATCACTAACCTAGGTCGTGTCGTGTGCTTCTGTGGTGAAAAAAAGAATAAAATAAAGAGAAAATTAAGAGTAAGAGAACCGACGGTTACCTGAACGAGTGAAGTTGACGGAGTTCTGGAAATCCTGTGTAGTCGGCTTGTCAGAGCAGGCGGTAGGCAGAAAGAGTCCGAAATGTCAGAGCAAGTTCAGGGGTCCGAATGTTCTCTCTAAAAAGTTCTCAAGTGTGAAAAGGACTGAAGTCAACACACCCTTATATAGGCAAAGTGTGAAGGCGAAGGGTCACTTCCAAAATTCAAAATTTGGGCGGGAGAATCTCTCGGCCTTTCGCCGAGTGACACCTGTAGCAGGCCGTCGCCTGTCACGGTGCGACATCTGTCATAGGTAACACGTGACCAGTCACGTGCCACCTGTGAGGGGCAAATGATTAGGGGATTTTGCTCCCACCAATCGGAATGCGCCACGTGGGCCAATCAGGTCCTACCAAGTGTCCTCCAGTTGGAACTGTCAGGGTTTGCCACGTGGCACACGCCTATTTGTCCACCCTAGACCTATTATGTCATGACACGTGGCATCCTCCATTCCTAATTGAAAAACCGGCCACCTAGGCCCAACTTCCAAGGGAAGCCCAATCAGCCCTAGGTTAACCTAAACCTAGGATTGGCACGTTTCCCAAGGTTATAAATACCTCCATTAATCCTCATTAAGGGGGATTACGCACATTTAACACTCTCACCTAGAGAGACCCAATTACTTTTATTTCCGCATTAATTACTCCTTAATCAAGTACTAACTTGACCGTCGGAGGCGGATCTCCAATCGTCCGGAGCATCCGTTTGTTTTGCAGGTACAGGCGTCCGGTTCCAGTCTCGGAATTGTAACTCTCCCGCAGGATATCAGAAAACCCCGAAACAGTTATGATAATATTTGTCGCAATAGGATCGTATTTGTATATATTTTGTATCCATATCGCATTAGCGCAATTTCTTGGCTGCACTCTAATGCAGCCAAGCTGGCTGCAACAAGCCAAAACGCAGAAGCGTAAGTATGAAACGCAACCATTACTAAAAGCTTCCATATTCTATTTCTGCTTCAAGTTTCCCGCTAGAAGTTTCCTTAATTTTCTCTTTCCTTATTTGGTTTATTTGATTCGATTCTCTTCTCATTCAAATTACACATTTGATTGCAATTTTTTCTCTCCTCTTTTTTTACTCCATTGTTCTTCGCTCTATTGTTCTTCGCTTTTAATCAAGATTTTCTCTCTCCTCCTCTGTTCTTTACTTAACAATGGAGGTGATCGTTATTCCTGACGAAATCATCAATGCAGGTTAGTTTTTGTTGTTTATTATTAATTAGGTTATTGATTAATTGATTTCTGATTTTATATTTTATGAATATGATGATTTTCAATTTATTGATTAAGTGAGTTTGACGACATTGAATTCGATGAATTTTGCTGATTTTTGTGATTTATTTCATGAATTTTGCTGAATTTTGTGATTATTTCAATTTATTATTGATTAATCGAGTTTGACGACATTGAATTCGATGAATTTCAATTATAATTTTTTTCTGCATTTTTATGATTGATTTTTTGATTTTATAATTATTGAATTTTGTTATTTATTTCATGAATTTATTCAAGTTCTATTTAATGATTGTCGTTGATTGAACTATTTCAATTTACAATTGGTATTGATTTCTTGAAAAATTTATTAAATCTTGAATTGATTTTTTCGTTATGATTTTTTTCTTCTTTAATTGAATTTGTTTTTGACTTCGTCGTATGTATATTTAACATTGTATACGTTTATCATTTATATTTTGAATATGTATATGTTTAATCTGAATACTCCATTCCTATACTATGAACATTAATTGTCTACAAGTGCACAATGTACAATCTCCAGACAATGAATTGTTATTTCATTATGTATAGTAATTGTGAACATTATATTCGATTTTATGAACATTTTTTGTACACATTATGAACACTTTGTTATTTTTTTATTATTTCAGAGAATTCAAATGCTGTTGTGTTTAAGGAAGCTGAAGTATCTGAATTAATGTTCAAAGAAGTTGGACGTGAGCAGGAAGCATTTGATTTGTACAATGATTATGCCTTTAAGATGGGTTTTAGTATAAAGAGGAGCAATGTGCGAACAATTTATAACACTAATATATGGCGAAGTAGGAAATATGTATGTTTAAATGCTGGTTTGAAGGATGATTCTAAGAAGGATGTTAGGAGGTATGAGAGGTTGGATTTTCGAACAAATTGTGGTGCGTTTGTTGAGTTCATTATTGAGCGTGGTGTATGGATTGTTGTACAACATTTAATGGATCATAATCACCCTATGATTCCAATTGATAAAAGACATTTGCTTAGGTCTCAAAGAAAAGTGAATAAAAAACTTTTGAAGGTGATTAGTATTATGAAGGCTAGTGGTGTTCGGGTTAGTGATTCTCTTCGTGTTATTAGTAAAGAAGTTGGTGGTTCACCAAATCTTGGGTGTAATAAGAAGGATGTATACAATGCTTTGGATGTTGAAAAGTCAAATAGGCTTGATGGTTAGGATTGTAATCAATTGATCAAGTATTTTGCTCAAAGACAAGCCAAGGAAACAGATTTTTATTATGAATTTGAGGTAGATAAAGCTAACTCTCTTACTTGTGTCTTTTGGAGAGATGGAAGGATGAAAAGAGATTATGAATTTTTTGGGGATTTGATGGTTTTTGATACTACTTATAGAACGAATAAGTACGGCATGATATGTGCCCCATTTATTGGGATGAACCACCATTGTAACAACGTTATGTTTGGCATGGGATTTGTTCTTGATGAAAAAATAGGTAGTTTCATATGGTTGTTTGAATCATTCATGAGATCAATGGGAGGTGGGCGTCATCCAATAACTATAATGACAGATCAAGCACCATCTATTGCTGCTGCTATTCGGGTAGTATTCCCAAGTTCTAGGCATCGATTGTGCACATGGCACCTTGGGGAGAACTCAAAAACAAATATTGGAAAATTTAGAGCTATGAAGGGGTTCACAGACTTGTTTGATTTTCTAACGAAGTATTGTGAAACTGCTGCAGAATTCGAACATTATTGGCCAAGGTACCTTTCATATGAATTCTTATAACACAAAAATGAACTTTGTATATTACCAATTGAATATGTTTTTGGCTATAATTATTTTGTCCACTGTTATTAATTTGTCTTTATGAATATTGTATATTATGTAATGAATATGTATGTTTAATGTATGAACTTACTTATTTTAAACTTAAACATTTTTGCATCTATGAATATATAGGGTTTGTGTGTATTATATGACTTGGGTATAAGTATCACTATTTTACGAGCTTTACTTACTATTTGAACATATTGTTTTATTTTTTGAACTTAGTATTGTAATTTATGAACATATAAAAGTTTGAATCTGTTTTTTGTAATAGGATGATGGATAAGTGCGACTGTCATGATAATGCTTGGTTGAATCATTTGTACTCGATCAAAGAAAGATGGTGTCCAGCTTATTCGAAGGAATATTTTTCTGCAGGACTTTTGAGTTCACAGAGGAGTGAAACTACTAACCGTTCGGTTTCTCATAGGTTGAGGAAAACAGATGGTATGTGTGATTTTTATAAGACTTTTCTTGATGTTGTGGCTGAGTGGAGAAGTAGGGAAAACAAACAAGACTTTCGATTTTTGAGAGGTAATTGACACTTGGCGGTTGCTAATGTAAGTCTTCTTATTCACGCTAGAGAGGTGTATACTATTTTGGTTTATATTGTGTTTGAAGATCAATTTGCTAAAGCCATTTCTTGTTGTCAAGAGAGAAAGTCTGAAAATGATGAGACAATTACTTACTTGGTATGGAGGCCTAACAAGGATATAATTAGGCATGAGGTTATTTTGAACAAATTTACTAGGGTAATCAAATGTACATGTAAGTATTGGAGTGAAATGGGTTTATTGTGTTCACATTCTCTTCGTATTTACAACATCCACTGTGTTCAAAAAATTCGTGAAGAGTACGTACATAGTTAAGAGATGGACTAAAACCGCTATGTGTAGTCATGTGGTTGATGAAGAAACTATAGATGAGAATGTAGTGGCATCTTCTGTTCGGAGGGCTCAAATGACAAGAAAGTTTGTTCAATTGGTGACATCTTGTCAAGATTATGTTGAAGCAAGGGCTAAAATTGAATATACTTTTGATATTCTAAGGGAAAAGGTGGAGAGTGTTAGAGGACCAATACTTTTTGATGATGGAGAAGAGGAGGTTGAAGAGGTTTCTAAAGAAGGTGAGCCTATTTAAAATCCCAAAATAAAAAGAAAAAAGGGTGAGAGAAATGATAGGCCAAAAAGTACGGTTGAAAAAGCTTACAATAAATCCAAGGGGTGGAAGAAAAAGGTTGATAAATATAAAGATGAAGTCAAAGCTACTACTACTGAAAAGTTTTTCCAGGTATATCTGAATATAATATTAATTTATGTGAATATTAGATTTTAATAAATGAATAATGCTAAAATATCGTTTTTAATTGTAGGTTTTGGATGATGATGGTGATCCTATGATTTATTCACACCCAACAGAACCAGGTTCAAATCTTAATGTCCTTCCAAAACAGAAGAATTTTCAACCATCAACAAAGGTAATTTTAATATTTTCAATACTTTATTTATATTTTTTTCCAATTTTTTCAATATATATATATATATATATATATATATATATATATATATATATATAGGGTATTGGTGTCCAATCTGCAACTGAAAAGAGTAATATTGAACTTTACTGTTTTATTTATGAATTTAGTCAAATTGATAATGAACTTATATATTATTTCTATTTTGAAGGGTATTAGCCGTTCACCAGCAAGAGGAAATACTAATAAATAAAAAAATAATGCTCAACCTACATGTGCACCAGCAGGAGGAAACTTTAATAAGTCAACACATGCTTCTCAACCTTCTTCCTCTAATGTAATTTACTATTTGAACTTTTAATAGTTTTTTATAAGTTTTTATATATTAGATTATGAATATAGGTGTTTTTTTTAATTGACAGGGTGTAGATGGTCCACCAAGAACAGAAAAGTCCAATAAGTCTAACTATACTGCTCAATCTTCATGTGTACCACCAAAAAATTCTTCTAATCCTTCTTCATCAAATGTAAGATATTAAGTTTCCTTTTTGAATGTTTGTTGCTAAAAATATAAACTAAATTTGTATTACATCTGAACACCTTTTATGTGATGTAGGTATCAAGTCAATTAGGATCTCAAGCTAAAAAAAAGAAAACATCCTGAAGTTAACTCCAACAGAAGTTTTCAATATGAAAAGAGTAAATGGTATCAGGTAATATGATTTTTTTTTATATTAAATTATGAATATGTGCATTTTATTTATGAACAAAATTTACTTTTTTAATTTTCTTTTTTGTAATTTTTAGTATTTTGATGCCGGTCGCAATGCAAGGAATGAAGGATCTTCTAATGCTTCTACCTCTTCTAATGTGTCTCATTATGATGAAATGTTATCAATGTTTGACAAGACAAGTTAGTCATAGATTTATTCCTTATTTTTCATTGAAATTGTAATAATATACAAATTTTATTACTTTTCAATTTATAAATCTATTTTTTCATTGTTTTTCAATTTTATTATTGTTGTTTATTATTTTTAAAATTAACACTAATACTGAACATCTAGACTTGCTTTTTTGAAGAAAGTTAAATGTAAACAGTTTGCTACAAATTAAACATAAAATTTCAGTCTCAAATTTTAAAAAAAAACATTTGTCTTTCAAACTAATCATTCAAACACACTAAATAAAACCACAATTTCTTCAACACGATTAATTCACAACATCAATCTTCAATTCTTCTTCTTGCAGCCATCTTCACTCTGTATCCTTCTTTATTTGTGGTACTTAGAATAATTTCTGCACAATATTTCAGCCTGAGCTTCCGGATTTGATCAATCTGTTTTTACAAAAGTGAACATATTATTAAAGGTTTTGAACATTTTAAAAAAAAAATGAATATACTCATAATTATGAGTAAGATTGTTAAAATACTTACATCATTAGCCACCAAGTCACAATCCCACTCCACCAAATTTTCTGTGGTGTATGTCTCCATATGTTCCATTAAGTAAATAGCACAATTGTCATGATCCAAATTGCTTCTCCATTTCATCTTAATCAGATTTGTTTTGAAGCTCTTTACTTTATTGAAATCGGCTTCTTTGTAATCTTCAATTTTTAGAAAGTGAGCAAAAGCTTCAAGCTGAAATATGAAATTAAACAAACTGAAATGTTGAATAATGGACAAACAAAATTGATCACATAACAGAAAAAATTGAACAAAGGAAATTTAGTAATTTACCATTTTTTCTGGATTGTCTTCATATTTTGTACTTGCTTTTACATTCATTGGTAGCTTTCTGTTGTCGATTAAGTCAATCGTGCCATTGTACATGTTGATGCACATTAAGTAGAAATGCTTATATGCAGCTACAGGAAAAAAGAATTGCTTAAAGTCTTTGGTTCTTTGAATGCTACTGTTTGTTATTTCATAGTGCAATCTTTGTGCAAACTTTTCAAATCTCTGTTCTTTTGTAGTGTTTGGAGTTGCACCTTTGTCTGTGCATACTATCAGCTGCATATCAAATACAAATAAATGAACATGTTATGTTATAATAATGAACATTTTTTTACCAAAATTGAACATTAAGACAATGATAAATAATATGAATTGTAAATTAAAGCAGATATCTTCTTACATATGGCATTGTGGAGAAGTAAAGGCAATGTTTTTTGCCCTTGATGTTGAGAATATGTGCCCAGGCATCAATAACGGCGGTGTCGACTTCTGAATCAGTTCCAAGTGTCTTCATTTCACCTCTGTTGACACTGTTTTCTCCATCATGGTACAAAAGCTCACTACCAAAACAAACAAAAAAAAATTTAAAACTTATGAAAGAATGAACAATACTTATTAGTTTTTGAATAATACAGTATCAAGTTATGAACAATGAAATTCACAGATAAAACTTACTCATTAGGACCTTCACTGAATGCATAGTCAGAAATGGTTGCATTCATTGCGTTGACATCCTTGAACAAATCTTTGTATTTTATCATGAAAGGGGATTTAAGAGAAGGAGGCAGTCTTTTAATTTCTCTCCTTGGTCTTTTCTTTGCCTCTACATCCTTTGTTCTAATTGAAAAAACATGATATTTTTTTAAGGATATATGAAGATTTAAAGTATATATATGAACAACAATATTGAGATTATGAACTTTAAAAACTTTTCAGAAATGAACAGTGATTATACCTTTCTTGTTTATCTGTTGCACTCTTTTCTGCCTCAATTTGCAATTTTGGCTCAGTGTTCTTCTCTCTGATTTATTAACAATTAAAGTATATATTTGAATAAAAAGGGACAGATTATGAACGTCAAATTTTCTTTTACCGTTGTTCAGTTCCTGGATTTTTTTGTTCCTCACTTGGTGCTGCTTCTTTATATCTGAGAACAATACATTATGCATTTAAAAATGAAAATTAATATAAATAAACTGAACAAGTATAGAAAACTTAACCATAAATTTTATATATTTCATCATAATCACATAAGTTTTCCCAGAATATTTACAATACAAAAGTACTTCATTCTAATACTTGTTCATTTCAATTACATTTTGTCCAAAATAACTCACAGTACTTGATCTTAGTACTTGATCCAAAAATTTCAGAGTACTTCATCCAGTACTTGACCAAAAAAATTCATCTTCATACTACATCCTAGCACTTCATCTATTATATGTCCTACAGAAAAACTAATGTCCAGTTTAGAGTTACTTTACCCTTCATTAAACGGGAAGTTTCTTGACTGTGGCTGGTCAAAAATATCTGTCAGAGTTGTATCAGGGTTGTTCAACATATCTCCAAATTCTGATGGATCAAATATCGGAATCTCTTCTGTTTCAAGTGCTGACATTCCTAATCCGAGATTCAAGTTGATTTTTGATCCACTTGCAACCACAGCTTCTTGGGGGCTTGGGGAAGGACTTTCATTAATCCTCAATTCGAAAGGATTGCTCGGGTCAAATGTAGCTTTCCCTTTTTCCTTAGCTGCTGCTTTCTTTTCTGCTTCATCCAATGCATGCAAAAAGGACTCTGACCCAAACACTTCGTCATCTTGACTCAAGATTGAAGGTTCCTTTAACTTCTTTTCAATGAACTCTCCCATTGTTTTGAAAAGGAGATTGTTCGGGAAAAGTTCCTTGGCACGGTTGAGTTTTGCTGCCATCTTTGACAAATATCCACCTAGAGTTTTTGCCAGATCAATTAACTCTTCCATGAATTGGTCCTACAAAATTAACATAACATATAGAGGATATGGACATTCAGTATCCAATTATAAACATCAATAGCAAAAAAATGAACATAATAATTTTTTAATATAAATATAGAACTAAATACTTTGAATCGAAAAACAAAATTGTGAATTTGGAGATGAACATAAAAGTAAACAAACCGTATCTGTTTTTTCTGGTACATCTATAACAGCCTTTTTGATTTGGATTCTTGGTAACACTGTTCCTAATCCATAATCCTTCTTCTCCAACTTCATTCTTTCAATCACCATGTCCTTGTTCCAAACAAAAATCAGTGGTGGAGTTCTTGGTGTTACAATACCCTTTCTTTGCAATCGATCAAAGTAAGTCAACTGAGCAAACATAGAATAATTCATATAAAAATATGAACAATCAAGTATATAAAATGAATATTTTAAATAAACTAAAGTAACAAATGTTTCACTGTTATTATATTCTGAATAACTAAATTAAATATATGAATAAACATAATGAATAAATGAATTATAGAAATACCATTAAGAAAGGCAATGGACCCTTATAGAACCCTTTCTTGTTGCTTTTCCAATCAGAAGTAGTATCCATCAAGCTTCTAAGTACATACTTGCACCAATTGTACTCCTTGATTTCATTACAATCTTTGAATGAATATAGGAACTTGTAATGACAGGTGATGCTCTGGCTGCTTTTCATTAAACAGTTTACAGCAAGTACAATGAAATCAATGATGAAAAATTTCATTTGCTTCACCCGAGTTTTGTTGAATAGTAGGTGATTTTTCAGCTTTCTTCATCCTCTTTTTCTTGTCATTCTCTTTTTCTTGTTCTTCAGGTGCATACTTTCCCAAAATCAAGTGAGTTTTTGGGCTTCCAAATGTGATGTTGTATGCTTTTCTCCACCTTCATATTTTATTTTAAAAAATAAGTAAAAATTTCAGAATAATGAATATACTTAAATTAATAATGAACATCAGTGAATTTATATTGAATATTAATAAATTAAACATATTTTAAACTTGTTAATAGACTTTCTTGCTCTTCCTCCTCATCAGATTCAGCAATTTCTTCAACTTCTGTCACAACTTTTTCTCCTCTTGGTATTCCATATACCAATTCTACATCATCTTCACAAATCTCAATAGATTTGTTGAAAGGCAAAAACAGTGTGCAACTATTTTCTTCAAAGTTCTTCACCAACCAAGCACAAAATTTTTGGTCATTTTGTGGCAAGTTAACATCAAGTATAGCTCCAAACCCCATTTGAACAACAAGTTCTTTTTGAGCTGGACTTAAATGTTTCACAAAAGTCATGAATTTGAAGTGTCCAACTCTAACACCTAATATGTCTTTTTCATCATCCAATATGTTCTCATCATCATCATCTAAATTCACCACTTCAATTTCATCTTTATCAGTTTCTGGTTCTCTCTTTCTTTTTTTTTATAGGTTTTTTCTTTTCCTCAACTTTTTCCTCCTTCAACATCTTCAACTCTTTTTTCAATTCCTTCAACTCATTTTCCTTTAACTTCTTATCCTTCAACTCCTTTTTCTTAAGAATTGCTTTTGATTTTTTTGAACTTTGTCCTTCATCTTTTTGTCCCTTCATCTTTTTCTGTGTTAAGTCCTTCTCTTTCAAATTTTTTTGTTCCTGTTTCTTACCAGGAGATTTCTTAATACCTTGATCAACAATTCTTTTTTCCTTTTCCTTTTTTGCACTTTCTCCTGATTTTTTTTACAGCAATATGTTTCCTTTTCATTTTAGTTCTACAAAAAAAAAAATGAATAAATTCATTATACAAAATGAACATAAAAAACCATTTAGTGAATATAGACCAGAATTGAAGGTTTTCTTACTTAGCATCAACCATTGAAAGAGATTCATGTTCAGAAGCTATAGCAAGTTGTACAAGTCGATTTTGAGGCATATCTCTGTAGATATAAGAATGAATATCAAAACAAATAAAATGAATAAACATTATATTAATCTGAACATTGTCTAATAATATTTTTTCTTACTCTGCTTCTTTTTCAGTAGGTTTTTTAGAAGAATTTTCTTGTTGTTCATAACCTTGATTATCACCTTCTTCAGAAAAAGTGTCATTCAGTTCTGATGGTATTGGTCTATGTTCAGAAACAGTTCGCTTCAGTTCTGATGGTTTTGGTTGATCAGAAGGTACATTTTCATTGCTGTGTTCAATTCTAAACTAAGGTTAAAATATGCACAACAAAAGAAACACAATGAATTTATAAATTAAGATTGCACAAGTTTAAGGAAATACATAACTAAGTTGGAAGTGCAAATTTAATATTCTATTATGAAAACTGAACAACATCCATTAAAAACTGAATATCAAATAAACATAAATGAAGTTTATCCAATATTAAATAAAATGCGTACACTTGTTTCCTAGTTTCAACAGAAGGTTGATCAACACTAGGCTGTCCAGCATCATTTTCTCTGTATATAAATTAGAATACAAAATTACTAAATCCATATCATAAAATCGAAAAAAAACTATGTAAAAACTAACAACAAGTGAACAATAATGAATATTAACAAAAATTAAGTATATTACATACCCTTTTTCATTAAGGGGGTCCGAAATTTCTACAGTTTTAGTGTTACAAGTTCCAAAAGTTTGTTGCTCAGAAATTTCTTTTGTTTGTTCAGAAGGATTTGAACGTCGTTCATTTTCTCTGTCATAAATTGAAATGTACAATAATCATATTTTTATTGCATATAGTGAATACAAGAATAATTATAATGAACTTAAGTACAATAAACATGAACTTAACAAGTGAATATAAGAATAATGAAAATGAACTTAAGTACAATAAACATGAACTTAGCAAGTGGATATAAGAATAATGAAAATGAACTTAAGTACAATAAACATGAACTTAACAAGTGAATATAAGAATAATGAAAATGTACTTAATTACAATAAACATGAACTTAACAAAGCGAACATACTTGTCATTTGTACTTTTTTCATCCTCAGTTTGAACTTCTCTTTCCAAGTCCTTTAAAATTTTTGGATCAACAATTGGACTTTTTACTTCTTCCTTCTTTTTCTTTCCAAATAATTGAGAAAGAGTTATGTTTTAGATATTTAGGGTTTTTAGTGCAAAATCAAAATTCATATAACATAAAAATAACAATGAATAACAACAAATTTATGATTCTTACGCATAATCTTCATCATCTGAACTAGTTGTATCTTCTTTGGGTTTTCTACATAATAAAAAAACGAACAAATACTTCATAATTTTCAACAAAAATAATAAAAATTAACTTTTAAATGTAAACTCTATAAAATATGAACAATATTCACAGAATTGGAGAGGAAAACGAAAGAAATTCAACATAAATTATGCTAATTTTGAAGTTACCCTTTTTTCGGAGATGGTAGAAGCTTGCTTGCCATGGAGAGAGAGAAATCAAGAGAAAGGAGAGAGAAAGTTAGAGAATGGAGAGAGAAAATAATTTTAAGTGAGGAAGTAAATGGTTAGAAGTTGGAATTAATGGCGGTTTGAATAGGATGGTTTTTTTTTTTCGAAACATGGCGTGGGCTGTATGTTTGATGGGTTGAAGCTGCTGTTTGGTTTGGGCCGCGAGTATTGGGCCGCGTGTTGTTGCAGCTATCTTGGCTGCACTAGAGTGCAGCCAAGACCGATTATCGTATTAGGAGTGCGGCTTGTCCCTGAGGCAGGGCATCAGGTGTCGTCGCCCCAGGCCCAAGGAAAGGAGGCCCAAGTTATTTACTACTTTAGATTTAAAAGAATTTTTTTTTTTTAAAAAAAAAAAAAAACAAAATATCCTTATATTATACTACACGACTATATGCAACTTTTCATATCATATCATATTCATATTCCCAACTTTCAACTTTCAAGCATAATTATTCTGCTATATTATTTCCTAATTAATTCCAAAAAAAAAAATCTTAATTGCCATGGTCTTATTCTCTTATCAATTGAAATCTATTGTTATCTTCTTCACATTAATTTATTTTCAAATTTCCAACTTTATTAATCACCTAAAACAACTCTAATTCAAATGATCGTCTTCTTCTTTTTCTTTGATTTCAATGGGATTAGGTTCACAATATTTACCTAACAAATAGTACTACATCCAATTCTTCTTCTACATATAAACAAATTTTTTTCAATCTTCTGATTTATAATCCTTGATCCATTTTTTTTTTAAATTTCTTTTCTAATTTTTTTGTCTTGTGTATATAATGTAAAGATTTCATATGTTCTTTTGTGTGAATTATCATATTTTGGTCTTTAGAAAAAAAAAATCATATTTTAGTTGGTTTCAAAAAAAAAATTATCATATTTTATTTCATTGGTGGCTAAATTATCATAAAAAATTAAATATTATTTTATATATTTTTTACTTTACAAGATAATTAGGGCCCAATTTCACATTCCGCCCATAGGCCACCAAAAAAATAGGAACATGCCTAGATACATCACAACCAAACAATATAAAAAGAAAGATAAAAAAATTATTTACACCCAACAAAACACCCACTAAAAAGTCAAATATCATTTGAGAAAAATAAAGCAAGTACGAAAATAATCATTAAGAGTGGATAATAATCATAATATGATCTAACTTCACCAAATAAGAAAAAGTAGTGCACACTAATTTGAATTCATATTTTAACTTTCAATCAAATCAAAACCTCTTTGACAATAAATCATTATTTGATCTACTCTTGTAATAAAATGATTTATTAATCCTAAATAAAGATAATATTGTTGTGAAATATTGTGTGGATATCCATTATATTCCTTGTATCATTTCATAATATTCTAGATAGATCAAGGGTTTATATTTTTATCCAAGAAAATCCTAATTATATTGTATATATATATATATACCCCATCATATGGAATAGAAATATACGGATCAATTCTATCTTAATTTCTCTCATATTGTTGAGCTCATTAGAAAATCTACATGTGAGTGGTGTATTGTCCCACATTAGTTGAGTGTATAAGTGAGAGTTTGTATTGGGATGTGTATACGATATTGAAGAAACAAGAAAGTTGTGTCCCACTCTAGAAGGCTAAGGGCTACTACCCTCATTGGTATTTGGTTTTGAGGTGGAACCTCCTTGGTTGTATGAAGTGGACAGCTGTGATGGGTGTGACCCAAGCCCGTTTATCATGGTATTTGAGGCAGGTTACAAATTCTTAGATGGACCACTACTAAACACATACTTTTCTGAATTAAATGCAGCTTCACATTCTTCTCCTCTTTTCATTTCTTTTTTTTTTCTCCCTTCTTCACAAGATCTGTATTTCCCTTTTTAATCTGATTCTTTTTTTATTTCTTTCTCGATAATAATTCTTTATAATTTATTATTTTTGAGATCTCTCCTCTGAACTCAATGTGATCAATATTAATCTATTTTTTATTTTTGAGATGAATTTGTGGATTTAATCCTTGTTTTAATATTAATTGAATTTCTTAAAGCTAATCCAATCGTTTTCAATCCATTATGATCGATTGATATATATATTTTTTTTATTGTTTATTGATTTGAAAAAAAAAATCTGTATGATTGCAAATTTTGAACATTTTTGTAAAAAAAAATCAGAACTGAACATCGAAAATTTTGAACATTTAGTAAAAAAATATCTGAACAATCGCAATGTACCATGCCTATGCTTTTAAACATTTAGTAAAAATATCTAAACAATCGCAATGTATCATGCCTATACTTTTAAACATTGAGTAAAAAAATCAGAACGATTGCAAATTTGATCATTTAGTATAAAAAATCCGAATTGACATTGAAAATTTTGAACATTTAGTAAAAATATCTGAAAAATCGCAATGTACCATGCCTATACTTTTGAACATTTAGTAAAATTAACAATAATTACCCTAAGACTAGTAACTTGTATTTAGCGGAACTAGGGGTCGATCCCACGAAAAATGTGCTTGCAAATAACTAAGAATAAGATCCAAGACACTTAACAAAGATTCAAAACAGTAAAAGAACGATTGGGGGGTGTTTAACGTTTTTGGGACCGCCTCTAACGGTCGCAAAAATAGCAAAAACGGTCGCTAAACATAAATGCGACCGTCAACGGTCGTAATGCGGTAGTCGTTATTTACATGGTCGAAAAAAAAATTTATTGCGACCGTTTAGCGGTCGCAGATTTTTTGCGACCGTTTTTATTAATTTCAACGACTAGTTAGACAACTGTCGCAAATTTACAAATTGCGACCGGTTATAAAAGCAGTCGCAAATCTGGATTTAGCGACGGTCCTAGGCGGTCACAAAAAATAAAAAAAAAAAACAAAAAAAAAGAAAAAAAACGCAGTCACTTCCTGAACTTCGCAGCCAACCCTACCACCACTTCCCACCCAAACCCTCTTTACCCACCACCACTGGCCACCCTAAAACACCACCACCCAGCCTCAACCACCTTTACCCACAACCACCCATATTCAACCCAAAAATTGTATAAATTTATCAAAAAAATTCAACCCAAAAAAAAACCCATAAAATCTCGAACAAAATTACACAAATCAAACCGAAAATGTAACAGAAATTAAATCAAAATTCGAACAAAATATAACCCACAAAAACTAATTAAAATTTTTAGAAAAATAAAACAAAATCAAACCCACAAAAACTAACAAAAATCGAATAAAATCAAACCCACAAAAATTAACAAAAAAAAATTAAACCCAGCAAAATTGAAACCCACAACGAACAAAAATCACAAAAAATTTCGAACAAAATTCGAAAAACAAATCAACAAAATTCGATAAAAACTTTGAACCAAAATTCAAACAAAAATTCGAACAAAAACTGAAATAAAACAACAAAAATCAAGAATAAAACAAAATGTTTTTAAAAAAATCAGAAAATCAACATACCTTTCCTAATATTTCTTCCTCATGGGAATATATGGTCAAATTCGATCTGGAGTTTTCATGGTCGAATTTGACCATGAAAACCGAAATTCTTGAAAAGGATGGTGGCGGCGCGTCTCGTTCATTCGTTGCTTGCTTGTGACGGTGGGGCTTGATCTGATGTGATGGCTTAATGAAGAAAGGAGATGAAGAGAAAGAAAGAGGAGATGAGAAAGAAAGAAAGAGGATGAAGAGAAAGGAGGGCGTCAGAAGGGAGAAGGAAGGAGGGCGTGAGAAGGGAGTAGGAAGGAGAAGATAGAGAAAATGAGCAGAGAGAAAATGATGAGAAGAAACGACTGCTACAACAAAAATTAGGGTTAGGGTGGGTTGCGCAGCACTTTTATACTCCATTTTATTAAAAAAATCATTATTTTACTACGACCGCTCTTAGCGGTCGCAATTGGTCGCAAATTGCGACCGTTTCTATAACGGTCGTAATGGTTGCAATTTGCAACCGATTTTGGCGGTCGCAAATGGTTGCAAATTGCGACCGTTTCTATAAGGGTCGTAAATGTCGCAATTTGCAACCGTTTTTGACAGTCGCAATAGAATTGTTTTAATTTAGAATTATTTTTAACATGTATATTACTTTAAACAAATTTTTAAATACTTTTGCGACCGTTAAATAGCCTAAAACGGTCGCAAATCTGCGACCGCCTTAAAAACGGTCGCAAATCTGCAACCGCCTTAAACACGGTCGCAAATATTATATTTTGCGACCGTTTTAATGACGGTCGTAAAAAAACGGTCGTAATTTGACCGAATTTTAGTAGTGACAACTAACAACTTGAAACTTAAACTAATAAGAACAAGAACAAATAAGGAACTTGAGATACTCAGTAACTATGTATAGAAATCCACCATGCAAATGTATAATCACGGACTTATTACTTAACCCTTTAGAATAGCCTGACTTATGGAACAAGTTCCTCTGTTTTCCCTTATTAATGGTTAGATCCCGTACGACTTTCACTAACCCTAACCAACAGATAACCCCTATACTACGAGCAAGGAATTTAACTTGATGATAGCGTTGAGAACTAGGAAAACATTAAGCCCAGACAACCATGACATTATTGGAACACGGTTTCATCTAGATCAAGAATTACTTTTCAATTAATAGAGTGGAACGTCCTCCTCTACAATTGTTTGCTACTCGATTAATGTTCTTAAGCAATTATGGACTTAGCAGTATTAATTAGCGAAAGAAATCAGACCCAAACAAATAGTTGTACACCTACTTATAAGAAATCATCATTCGTATGAACAAAACAATAATTCAAGAATGCTCCAAAGCATTAATCATTAAAATCAACAATACTCGTCTCAAATACTTAATACATGGCTTCAAACTAATAGTTACTGAGCATAAAAAGCTAAGGACTCATAATACAAAGATAAGAAAAGAAAACGAAACAATTTCAAGTCCCTCAGATTCGAATCTGAGTTCCTCTCAGGCAGCTCCGAATTACTCCGCTGCAATGTATCACAATAGTGACCAACGACTCCAAACCCTAGAAGGGTTTTGGAGTGAAGCCTCCCTTCTCTCTCGTCTCTTCTTCAGTGTCTAGCTCTACCTCCTCTATAATTCCGTGGCTTTAAATAGGCTAAGAGATTATTGGGAATCTTTCAAAGATAAGGAAAGTAATAAGATAAGATTGTGAATATATATCTTTTTCCATATCTTAACCAATTGATAAGATCTTCTCTTTAATCAAATATATCTTTTCCAACTGCTGTGCATCTTGTAAATTATTCCCCAAGACTTCCCAAATTCGTGGATTTAATGAACCTAGACGAACAAAACGTGCTCAGCAAGCTGTTTTCATCTCCGTTAGTTTCTCAAGTTCCTCGGCTGGAACTTCCAGTTGCACTCCGCATTGATACCTTCATTTGGTTGATCTTTTTACCTTCTAAAACCACTCAATAACCTATAAAAACACACAAATGAGAAATAAGCCACAAAATATCAGAAACCTAAATAAAAACACTAAAATGCTAAAGGAACTTATCCAAAATCTAAGGAACATATATATAAAATAGTGTCAGAAATGACACTCATCAAATTCCCCCACACTTAGATCTTTGATCGTCCTCGAGCAAAGCACTCACACAGAAAATGAATCTATATACCACCAAACCTCTCTTACTTGACATGGACTCATAAGTACCCACAATAATTTAAAACGGTACTTTGTTAGATTAGCAAGCTTTATACAACAAACACAAAGTTACTTGTTAGATTAGCAAGCTATGCATACAACTTCCTCCCATACTCTAGCAATTTCAAAATCATAACACAATTAAATCATAAGCAATCTAGGTGCTCTAGTGCAAGTGTATTGGCCCATAGAATCAGATTAGTCAAGTTGGACCATTATTGTCTTTCAGTTGATTCCTTGGTGCTTTCTCGTACAAGAGGTACTTACCTAAGTACATGGATCGTTCCTTTCATATGTCATTGCACTTGCCACTCATTGATCTCAAAGGAGTACTCGATACTTTGCTTTTTGCCAATGCTTTTGAGGCTTTTTAATTTGATGTTCCTTAGTTCCTTTATCAATCTCAGGAACTGATAAAATTTCTCTCTTTTTTTTCATTTTTTTTTATAATGGTTCAATTTCCTCACGTTTGGGATTACTAATCCACTTTTCAATTTTTTAATTTTTGAACCATTTTCCCTCGTTTCTTTAAGAAATTCAAGTAATTCTCCAGTAACCAAGAGCAGTGAAAAGTCACCATAGAAAACACCAAGTATTAATTATGTGGATTAAATAAGCAAAGGTTCTTCCCAACATCACCACATATTAAGCCAACAAAGTAGTGTTCCAAATTGCTTACAAGTCAAATTTCAAAAACACTTTATTTATCATAATTGCTAGAGACAGAAATCTTTTGTGCATAACTTCAAAAATGTCAATTTTTAATAAAAACTATTAGATTAGAATTAATTAGATTAGAATTTACTGTCTTTCCCAAGAGTTAGTCTTTCCAAGAAGTTTATAAGTGGTAACCTAATAATACATATGCTCTCATCTTGTTCCTCTCCCCCACACTTAAACTCTACACTGTCCTCAATGTAGGAACTTGACATGCGATAAAGAAACAAAAATAAGAAAGCATGATTTATTAAACGACTAAAAAGCAATAAAAAGATAGGGAAAAGAAACATCCTTGGGTTGCCTCCCAAGCAGCGCCCTTATTTTAAGTCATAGGCTTGACCATCCAGCAAGTTCTAATCAAACTCCAGCACTTTGATAAGCAGCTTCAGCTAAGGCCATCTCCGTAGATGTAAGTGGCCAGTGGAACTTTAGATTACAAATCTGAAATATTTTCATTTTCACACGAGGTATGTAATCCACATCATATATAGCATGCAACTTCTCATTCCATTCAGTTTTATCATAAAAAGGTTCCATGCTAATCCACTCATCCTTTGTTTCACAAAAAGAAGAGTACGGAACACACGAAAAAACATTAGACTCAACTAAAGGAACAACATGCTTATATGAAAAACTTAACTCTATCGTACATGGAATCATAGGTAAAAAAGAAAATTGAATAATAGGCACAAAAACTTCATCCTCAAATAAATTAAATGACTTGCCATCTGTAGACACCTAAAAATGTCTCCCCAAAACCAAACCCGATGATAAACACCTTTCACCACCGTTATTGGTCGGATTGAGTAGTTAATCTTTGGAGTGCTTAAATCCATGTTTCTACCCAATACATTTCATAAACCAATCCATTTCCTAGTTCATTTCCCTAAACCATAACTTACTTTCCACTTTCCATATCCACATTACAAAACCGAGCTGAATAATTTTGATCCAATTATTATTTAGTTGTATAGGCCTTTCAATAATATTTCCAACCATATGTCATAATCCCAATTCCGAGCTATAACGAAAAAGATATGAGCAAAACACTAAACTCGGCCCAAAACCAACACCCTTCTACTAAAACGGCCATATCATAAAATATACAAATTTTTTTGACCTGATTCCAAATTGGGTTGGAAATTAGACTTGATAAGCTTTCCAATGATATATTATATGACTTATTCCGAGTTACAGATCAAAGGTTATGATGATTTTAAAAACGGGTAAAAACCTGGAATCACCGTGCACAGTGCAAAAGCACCGTGTCACGGGAGTTTGCCCCGTCTGACGGTGGGATTCTCCGTGACACGGTGCCCGTGCTGTGACACGGGGCCATTCCGTGTCTTTTCCGCGTAAATCCATCACGCGTTTTATCCCCCCGTACCCTAATTATTTCCCGCGTCACACTGTAGTCCACCGTGTCACGAGATTTTTCCCCGTCTGACGGTGGGATTTCCTGTGACACGGTGCCTTCTACCGTGTCGCGGTAGCCTTTTTTAGGGTTTTTATCTTTTTAGGGTTCCGTGTGTTCCCTCTGCTCATTTTCCCTATAAATGGGACCCCCTTTCTGCAGTTCGGGGCATCAAATCCTTCTCTCTTCCTCTCTTTTCCACCAAAAACCATTCTATTCTCTGTCTCTCATATTCTAAGCCTTAAATTTATATTCCTAATTATATCATTCTTCCCCTAAGCACTTTAAGGAGTCCATACTTAACCCGAGGTTCCGTCCTTAAACCAAGGCGTGAAAGGTACAAATAACTGAGGGTTTGGGCCAAATTAAATCTACATTTATTTAATTTAATCTCCATTTTATTTATATTTTTTTATTGAAGTTACTAACAATTTATTCATGATGTAGCAATTTTAAGGAACGCGCGAAATGTGAGTAATTAATTAATTTAATTACTTATTATTATTTTATATTGCTAATATCATGATTATTATTATTATTTGATTTGACTAACTGTGGGGAATAGTTTCAAGCCTTTAAAATCCCACTAGCTTGAACCCCACTGTGATCATACACTAAAGTACAGTGGCGTCCAAAAGGGAAGAAGATAGAGCAAAAGAGTCGCCAACAAGTTTTTAAGGAACTTGTAAACCGTTCACGAGGTGAAGGTTACACCCCTTAACGATCCAAGAGATCGTCAACTCCATAAGGTCATGAACCAAATAAGGGTTCGGGGATGAAGGTACAAATCCAACCTAAAAGAGATTGAACCTGCCCTAATAATAGGCCTCTACTTTATTCTGATCGTATTCATGTGCGCTTTCTGATCAACATGCAATCAATAGGATTAACCCTAAACCTGTTTAATCTA